TAAAAGTTTATTTTAGACACGAGGATGAAATCTTACGGGCAGAGGCCAGGCGATTGGATGGGAGGTTTGCGCAAGTATTCCGGGAAGGGGGGGGGGGGGGGGGGGGTAAAACAGAGACCTTACAAGACGACGATTAATTAGTAGAGGGGCAATATATCGATAGTCCCCTTGTTCAAGTTCCATCATCGGAATGCCATTGTGATCATTATAGTAAATCTTCAATCGAGTGATAAGAATGGGTAATGGAAAAAAAGACAAAAGAGAAGAAAATGTACTTTTAAAGATGGAGAATATTAAGTTCCCAATTCAAAATATGAATTCGATGGATATTGTAGGGAAACAAATATCGCTGAATTAATGCATGTCTAGTATGGCATGAGAAAAACGTAGTCTCTGCGTGCCGCAAACTAATCACACATTACAAGGACTGATTGCATTCACTATAGGAAAGAAAGAAAAATATCTCGAATCTCTAGGTATGACTGTTGTAACTTTTTTAGAGCACGACTTTGCATAGTTGATGACAGACAATACTGAGGTGTCCGACTTTGTGGCCCATCAAGACTTGCAGAAAAGACTGAACCTCCGAGATGCGTTTTTGGAGGAAGACCTAACGCCGTTAAGTTGTACCAGAAAGTCGGAGATGATGAAAAAAAATATTATTTTGATTTTTGTTCTCTTTATCCGTCCTTAAGGATATTCACAGCATTGAAAATTTTTTTGGGTCAGCAAAAGTAAAAGTACTGCCTCCTAGAAATCTTTACTTTCCCTTTCTACCTCAAAGTCGCCCACGTGGCGCAATGGTTAGAGCGTCTGCTTTAGAGTCGCGAAATAAGAAGTCAATCCTTACGTCGCGGGTTCGAATCCCACCGTGGGACGTGGAGATCGGTCCTTTGGATGAGACCGTATAAACCGAAGTCCCATGTCGCAGTAGGTGTTGGCACGAAAAGATCCCTCCCTGCTCAATTGCCCTGAGTGCTGAGCATAGAACAAAATTTGCAGCTCTCCACCGGCAAGTGGTGGCGTCTCCATATGAGTGAAAAATTCTCGAGAGGGAAGTTAAACAATATACAATCAATCAATCTACCTAAAGAATAAACAACAAACTAGTGCATGTTTGTTTTTTGTAGGAATTGTGCAGAACAAGAGAGACAACTGTGTTGTACTTGCCCTGATGAAGACCGATGCATCAGAGCTAGGAATATGGTGATTGAAATCGTAAACGGATATTCGATTTCCCACCATTACATACTATGATACTTCCTTTTTCTAGTATCAGACTTCAAATAATCAACATTTGTACTGTGTTGAAACTATTGATACACAGCACTTTTTGTCCCCCTCTTCAGATATTTATTTACAAACTCTTTGATATAGAATCGGGATTAGTACAGCGGAGTAATATTTCTATTATTTATAACATTTCATCCATATATAAAACAACACTTTTTGTGACATTAAATAATTATAACATTTCATCCATATATACAGCAATAAATGAAATACTCCCTTTGTTTTGGATCTGAACATTTTTGTATAAACAACTTTCATAGTTATTTTCTAAAACCATACCAAAGGCAGCATTATAATATCCCGGAACATTTCCCAAACTGTCGTTAAATTCGGCATGATTCGGACTGTGCATCAAGAACACTAACAATTGACTTCCTGGCAGATATTAAGGATCGGTGTTGCAAATGTATGCAGATGGGTAATTTGGATCTTGTTTGAGGCAGATTGTTTGAAGAAAAGACACCTCTTAATACAGCAGCAGTGTTTCTGTTATTATTAATTTGCGATAATAACACACGGGAATTCATACTGAGGTGTACTTGTTGTCTCTGGCTTGATCAATTTCAAGTTAAGGGGGAGATTCTGAATAAGTCAAACAATTTATTGTTTCTGAAATATTCGCGGCAAATTTCACTTCTAATCTAACACTTCCCTGCCAAACTAAATTTATAAACTCTTCTAGATCACTAGGAGCGAGATTAAATGTGTAAGCTGCATATCCCTCGCTAAGCATGGTGTGCGTTATATGTCTAGTCCGGCGTGTTTGTTCAATTTCTCACCTACTTCAAATAGATTTTAAAATGATGTGACGTGGTTCTCATTCACTCCTACATCAATTTTCATGGGTCTTGCTGGAATGCTTTCGCCGTTCAGTACAATGCAATTTCTTCTGCCAAATTTTGAAAATTCAATATACAGAACATAATTTGGTACATGTAGCATGAATATCAATGTATGAAATGTAAACAACCAAATAATATATAACTTATACATTTTGCCCTTGGATCACCAAGATAAAATGTAATGGGAAATCATAATTTCACAAAATAGCATCAAGATCTTCACGTGAAGGGTTTGTTTTCAATCTCCAAAACACATACAACTGTTAATGTGAGGACGAGAAACACCACTCTGGTCGAAATAGTTGAACGATCTGAACTCTACATCGACATAGCCGCTATATACCCCCACCCACTCGACCAGTTACATCTACAGAGGAGGGCATTACGCTGTTCAGCTGTCGTTCTTTAGGGGGGAGGTGTATATGCACATACAATGTAATATTTAAAATCTCTCTCCAACAATTTAATTATGTATTGTTGAATCTCTATAGTTTAAAAGATAAAAAATTACTGATTACATAATATTAAGTTTTGCCTGTTCTTTAGAAAGGTTTATATTCACACACCGGATAAAATTAAACTTCCTTTCTCTCTAAATAAATAAATCTGTTTACCAAAAAGAAATCATAAAATAAATTGATGGACCTCATAAATCTAATTTTTTTTAAAGACAATAAAAAGGGAAATCAAGTTTCTCTCCCTATGGTTGGTTTTGAAGCAATTTGGGGGAGTAGAGAAGGGATAACGGCAAGCTCTGACGTATTCAAAAATCTAGCATGCCCGCCAAGCCCACCATGCTTGGTAATTACTTACTTTACAATTATTATTTAGTTTTAAATAGGGGATATTATGTTATATTGAAAATGAATAACTTAAGTTGCATACAATATGTTATAGATCACAATTACACCGCCTTAGAAAAGAAAGGTAGGATTAAAGAAAAGAGTTATTCTATTAGATGAAAGCGACGAAGATCTCATCATCAGATTATGGCATTTTATTCAAATAAATTCTTTAAATAAATTCTTTAGACAAACGATAGAATTTTCCTCTTTTTCAAAGATGTCGTATTTGATTTCCCCGGAGTAAACTGGAATTTCGTTTTATTATCTCCGAAAAAATAAAGTTTTACTTTAATTCCATTCATTCTTCATTTATTTTTTTTCATAGATACCAAATGCCACCACCACAGTAAAAGCGGCAACATTTATAATGTTCTTGTTCAGAATTGGATATCATTCCCCTGGAATTCAGTGAGGAAGGGGAACGAGAGGAGAACGTCATTCCTCCATCCCAAATGCCACCACCACAGTAAAAGCGGCAACATTTTTTATATTGTTTTTGTTCTGATATGAAATTAAAGAAATAAAGAGTATTAAATGTTATTGTTTTTTTAGGTCACCTGAGTAAACTCAGGTGACCTATTGCTATCCGTTTTCGTCCGTCGTCGTGCGTCGTGCGTCGTGCGTCGTGTGTCGTGTGTCGTGTGTTAACATTTGAACATTTTCAGCTTCTTCTCTGCAACCACTGAACCAATTTCAACCAAATTTGGCACAAAGCATCTATAGGTGAAGGGGAACAAAAATTGTGTATTTCATGATCCCTGCCCCCATGGGACCTGAGGGGTGGGGCCAAAACCACTAAAATTAATACAATCTTTAAAAATCTTCTTCTTTACTCCTGGACATCAAGCAGTCAAACTGTTTGCATGGTTGTAATCAGCATTGAGTCCTCTACCAAAATTGTGAAATTCATGGCCCTGGGGTCAGGGGTTCTAGTGCTAGGGCGGGGCTAAATAAGTAAATAGTGAAAATGCATTATTTCTTTGAAAATCTTCTTCTCTGCTCCTGGGTATTAAATAAACCAACTAAGTACATAGTTATGATGAGCAAGAGTGCCTCTACCAAATTTGTGAATTTTATGGCCCCAGGGTCAGGGGTTCTGGTGTTAGGGTGGGGCTCGATTGATTATTTAATAAAAATACATGATTTCTTTGAAAATCTTCTTCTCTGCCCCTGGGTATTAAATAAACCAAGTAAGTAAATAGTTATGATGAGCAAGAGTGCCTCTACCAAATTTGTGAATTTTATGGCCCCAGGGTCAAGGTTTCTGGTGTTTGGGGGGGCTCTATTGATTATATAGTGAAATTACATGAATTCTTTGAAAATCTTCTTCTCTGCTCCTAGGTATTAAATAAACCAACTAAGTGCATAGTTATGATGAGCAAGAGTGCCTCTACAAAAATTGTGAATTTTATGGCCCCAGGGTCAGGGGTTCTGGTGTTAGGGTGGGGCTCTATTGATTATATAGTGAAATACATTAAATCTTTGAAAATTTTCTTCTCTGTCTCTGGGTATGAAGCAGATGAACTACCTATATAGTTATGATGAGCAAGGGCCCTAATCTTGCAGAATTGGGAATTTCAAGGCCCCAGGGTCAGGGGTGGGGGGGGGGGGCTCTACTTATATACTGGAAATGAATTAATTGTTTGAAATCTGGTCCTTTGTATTTATAAAACATTTATTTACTTTTTGATAGGCAATTTTAAGGGTGCCTTTTAAAAATTTGTGCAACCTAGGGTCAGGTGTTTATGTCAGAGTGTTAGGGGCACTACTGATTATTGATGAATATTACTAATTAGTTGGAGTGCATTTTTGTTCCCCTACCCTGCATATGGGTATTCAGTAACCAAGCTAAGCGACTGCTAAGTTTATTGTTATGATGATCAATGGTGCTATTTCAAAATTGTGAATGCCATATAGCATCTGGCTTAAAACATGTTATTGAATCAAATTCAATACACTGTAACTGGAAAGTTGTTGCATAATGCTCAGGTGACCTATAAGGCCCGTGGGCCTCTTGTTTTCTTTTATGCAGAATTACTGAAACTTCTTCATTGTGTCATTAAGTAAAGGAATGATCTGTAAAAGTCTTTTCCATATTGTGTCGTAGTCAGGTACAATCCTTTTATAGTGGCTTTCAAATTTACGAAAACCCTCAGGTCCACACGTATAGTATTTCCATATAAGCATACGGTCACAAATACATTTCCAGAGATTGAAGAGATTGAAAAAGATTGCATGAATTCACACAGAGTGTCATTCGCTTTGATGTCAATAAAGGATTCATTATGATGCGGTGATTCCACTACAGATGATCTTGTAGATAAACTGGAAATTTTTGTCACAGTCACAATTATACATGAAGCTGCCAGTATTCCAAGACTTCCACTGGTTCGAAGCGCAGAACAGCGCTTTCGCAGAGAGCTTTTTTCCTCGATAATCTTCCGCTTGTGTATGGGAACACTAATCTAAATAAGTTTAAATGGATCTTTTATAAGCAAAATCTTTACCAATAATTCACGTGATTGGACATTGCTTTTGAAATTATAAAAACTCTCTTTAAGAATGTTCAGCAGAGTAATTTATCGTGTCAAATTATATTAAATACCAAGAAAAGAATCTGAATCATAATCTTAAATTTATTATTAGCCCCTCAAAAAAAAAAGGAAGAAAGAAATCTTCAATTTCAAAGGTGTATGCATGTTAAAAAGTATATTGAGATAAAATATGTATTCGTTATATTTACAAATTTCACAATATGCAATTAGTAAATAATTTGATTTTCAGACATTGAAACAGACGAGATGGCCAGCAGACAACCACAATACGTCATATTCCCGAAACAAAAGACTGGGATGTAAAGATTGAAAGAGAAGGTTAACTCCGTCCGTATGGGTGGTTAACGGAGAAGTGGTCTTAAAGATTCATTTAGAAGACGAGGGGTATTTTATAGATGGTGGTTCAATTAATGTTTTCATTTAGCTGGAGCTGAGAATGTGAAAAAAGTTAAACGAGCTGGAAACTTCAAGGAACTCGGATGTTCAAATGAACATTATTTAAGAATTCTAAACTAGGCAGGTACACCTAGGCTCAAACCCGCAGAACAATGTCAGGAAAACAATGTGACATGTAATCCGAAATATGAACAATGTCGTCAACATGAGACAAAGTTATAAAGTTTAAACATCATTAGTTTTACACATAATATTTTTTTTTTCTTTTTATTTTGTAGTAGAGTTTATATTGAAAATATCTGAATATATATATATATATATATTGAATATATTGAATAAATTTGTATCATTTTTTGTACTCACTGGCTGTCTGAAATGATGCCATTCTTGCAATCCAATCATAAGACAAAAATATGCAGGTTTTTTTGTTAAATATGTTTTTCTAAATTTGTCCAATGAAGTCTCAAGTTTATTCCTCCGCTTCAAAATAATTACTAATTAAAGATATAGGTTATATATATATATATTATGAAGTGAAATTTATTGACAATTTTGCTGCCACTTTGTACTTAAAATTAACTTTTTAAAATGAATCCATATTTATCACCAACTGAAGATAAAGTATTACTTGTCGTAGATCTAGATTGTTATAACCTTGTGCTATATTACGTACAGAAAGAAGAGGGCAGTATTTCTGTCTAAAAATGTATTTCAATTATGCTTATAAATAATTATATAACAATTATATGTAAAAAATAATAGAATTCCAAGTTAACAAATTCTTTGCTAACTTAAAAAATAAGAAATACTAGTAGATCCAACGGCACTTTTGAAAATTCATATTCAAGGAGTCATGAATCACGGTAAAGGAACATATACATACTATGTTGACATCAACGAGTACTCCCACGATGCGAATCTAGTCATGAATATCCTACTACAATCGGTATATGCATCAACGGAAAAGGTGAGAATGAGTACAATTAAGTTTTAAATTTTAAAGAAAACATATTTTGCTAAGCCTAAATTATTTAGTACAAGAAAAAAACATATCTGACAATATATGATTTTCATTTTAGCATGGTTGATTACCAGAAATATTATACATTCAGGCAGACAGCTGTGCGCGCGAAAACAAAAATGAATTTGTTCTTGCATTCTGTGAGCTGTTAGTGAAATTAAGAGTTTTTCAAGAGGTACGTTCAAGATACTAAACCTTTACATAATCCTTAAAGTTACATTTTTTCCAATTTGGGGTTAATAGACAAAGCACGTATAAACAAGAAATAAATGCTCAGTTTCTTTAAAATGTAACAAGACTTATATAACAGTACTGATTAATGCTTTTGCATTGTCAGTGTTTTATTAAAGATTGACAGTTTTTGCGAGATACACTTGTCGCTCTCATATGTTGGACATACCCATAAAGACATCAACGCAGGTTTTTCTGTTATTCAACTTTCAAAAAGTGTTATGGATTTTATTTCATCCTTAATTTTTCCTTAAATATTGCTTTTAGGCTTTTTTCTCTTAAATATTGATAATTTAAAAACATCAGTATTATTTCTTTAATCAATCTAAAAAAAATAGTTTAAAGAAAACGATTGCGATAATCTTTCACTTAAAAAAATAGTGAATTATGTAAACCTTGGCCAGGAAAGGGATATATGAGTTTGCCAAGAAGAGAATCAAAAAATGAAATTAAATTATTGAAAATAGGAAGTTAAAAATCTCCTGAATATTGCATATAATTAACAGAATTAAGTACATTTAATTCAAATACTAGAACATTCTTCAAAAGGGATTGCATGAAATTTAAAAGGAAAAGATTTTCATACAACTGGAATTAGGGGTGGGTGGGGGGGGGGGGGTGTTAATCATGAACTTAATCAGAACTTCATGTGTATTTCTTCCTCAAACAAATGTGACAGTAAAGAATTTCATAAGAATCCCGTATTTAACCCCAATTAACTTTATTATTCTGTCAATCATACAGAAGGAAAGTTATGCCCATTTCTGAGTCCCCTGAGATTGAACCGAGTAACAGAACGCATGTTACATGTACTTATATCCGCTTAATTGTTTCAATTAATGTTTAGTACATTCATTGTGATAATTTGAAAGTTACCAACGTATAATATAGATACATGTACAATTGCTTCGATCAAGATCATGTCGTTACCGTCTTCTGCGTTCTTCGCAGTCATTTACATAAAAGTCAGTTTCATTAATCTCTAATCTACTCTAGTGTAGTATATAAAACCTACAAAAATCAATTTGTAGAACATTAAAAATCGATTCTTACAGTAACAGAAAAACTGTCAATATACATTATAATCAGAAAAAGGTGTCCCTCCCTTAAAAAAATCACAAGTTTGATTCCAGATAAAATTTAATTGATAGCCGTATTGTCAATTTAGTTTTGACTTAGAAAATTGAAATAGTGAGGTTCGTTATACATTTTCATACAAATTAATCCTACCCTAATCTGTACCATGAACACTGAAAATAACGGAGGACATGTTTTAATTTTCTTCATGTCCAGGATAATTATACGAAAAGTTGAACAATCTACAAACACTCGATGTCCGTTTTCCTCATAACTAAAACACCGCTCGTATTTGCCCTATCCCCCATATCCCCTTCCGCCCCAACCTTATGTGTCTCTCTCGAAATTCAACATGGTGAAAAAAATTAAACAGCCGTTTTCTCTTTCGTTCGTTTAGCTATGGTGAAGTCAGATTTGATATTACGTGGCGATTTATCTCGACTGACAAGAAGACAATGAGGAAATGTTTTTATAACACAAGAATTTTATTACGTAGGTTAATTAATCAAAATGACAGGTGTACAAGACAGAGAACGGGGCTCTGAAAAGGAAACTCGTTTTTTTTTAAATAAAAAAAAATTAGTTTATTTTTATTATTTTAAACAAACATTTTTACTATAATTAAACCCACTTACATCTTCATAAACATTATCTTTTGTAATCAATTTGCTTTTTTGTTAATCAATAATTTTTTTTTAAATTAACATTTTTTAAAATATATTTTTTCCGGAATTAAATTCCTTCTTGAGAAAAAAATCTAGAAGTTATAAAGTATTTGGAATGTTCGAGTCGTTCCAATAAATTTCTATTTATTAAGGATTTTTCCTGCTGATTGAAAAATTCGTTGCTAAGTAACTTTTTTAGGTCACCTGAGTAAAACTCAGGTGGCCAATTGCTATCCGTTTTCGTTCGTCGTCGTGCGTCGTTCGTTAACATTTAAACATTTTCAGCTTAATTCTTCTCTGACACCACTAAACCAATTTCAACCAATTTTGGCATATAGCATCTATTCGTGAAGGGGAACAAATATTATGAATTTCAAGGTCTCTGCCCCCCCCCCCCCCTCCAAGGCCTGGGGGTTGGGGCAAAAACCAATAAAATTAGGTCAATCTTTCAAAATCTTTATTCCTGGACATCAAGCAGTCAAACTGTTGGTATAATTGTATTGAGCATACGAGTCCTAAACAAAAATTGTGAAAGTCAGGGCCCCAGGGTCAGAGGTTAGAGCTTAACACACTTTTTAAACTCACTTTGTTTTTCGCACAAATTAAAGTCATATTGTTATAATGCAAAAATTGTGTAATGTGACAACAAAATATATTTTGAAAATGATTTATGACTTAATTTTGATCATATCCCATTACTTTAAACATAATTCACACATAATAAGTGGTAGAATTTTTATATGCTTTTGGTTGATAACTTGAGGAAAAAGAGTACCAATTATTTTCCCATAGAACTCTATACAAATCTCTTGCTCTCCCAGTGCTATACTATTTCGCTTTCCAACAAATCCCTGAAATCATTTGAAACTACAGTCTACGCGCGTTTTAAAAACACTGAAAATACATACCAGGCCGTGGCGTTTATAGGTCAAATTTGCATTTATTTTCAACTTCCAGTGATCGGCAGTAAATGGCATTCTACTTTCAAAATCAGCCCCACTCCTTTATTTGTCCCCTGGTATTTATATACTTGCTAGAATATTTCCTCATTCCATCATTTATCTCAAACATCAATATTTTTACTTTAAAATGAAAAAAAAAATACATACCTGAATTCAGCCAATCAGGTAAAGCCTACCCATTTATTACTCTGCTTCATCTTGTTCACCCAGGAAATGATGTAAAAATCTGGGTCTTTGGTACTCTTTTTCTTATACGTACATTTTTACCTACCTCGGAATAAGTCAATTTAGTAAATTTCAAAGACTTAACACTTACCTGTGTACATGTATGGAATTTGAGTTCTGTGACTTCAGTGTTTTGGATACTGTGACCATTTTAATAGATGACACCTTACTGGTATTAGCCGAGTTGAACTTGTCGAATGACTGTCAGATCCGTGTTCATATTTGGATATATTGGTAACTGTAATGTATAAAATGTTTGTTGACATGATTTTGTTTTTAAATGTAAATAGAATGATATTAACTGCAATCTGTGTCATTTCTTTCATAAGGGTGGATTCTACCCAGAAAATAAGAAAAGTTCCCAAATTTAATGAAAACATAGCAAATAATGCAAAATATGGATATATAAAAAAGATTAATTCGCAGACATTTTGGTGATTATGAGAAGTAAATCAATCAAGACTCTAGTTAAACTAATGATTCTTATCTGGTCCTCCCTGCTGATTAAGTATTTGCAAAAAGCTTCACCACCCCTCTATCTAATATATCTTGGAGAAATAGCACGTGCCCCCATCTACTTTGTTTACAATTAACACTACTGAATTAAATATCCCCTTAGATCCCAAAAAATCCCCTGTTGTCCCCCTGTCAGTCCCTGACATTTTTCTGTCTCTCCCTGACTTTCTCCTATGATCCCCTGTCGTTGTCCCTGCTCTCCCTGTCCAGTCCCTGTCTTTGTCCCTGACTTCCCTAACCACTCCCTGTCGTCCTCTGACATTCTCTGATCTCCCTGTACAGTCCCTGTCGTTGTCCCTGCCTTTACTGACTTGCCCCTGTCGTCCCCTGACAATTATTTTGGCCAAGAAAAGGAGTTATTTTGTGGCATTTAAGAGTGAAAAATGATATAGTCTTGAAAACTTGAAGTATTTTTTTGAAAATATAGACTTATTAAAAAAGTTGACATATTTTTAAATGCCTTAACCAAATCCCCTGTAATTTAGTTTCTATTACTTGTATCAATGTGATTTTTTTTAAGTTTCAGTTGGTAGCATTTTGGGGGGAGAACAGCAGAGAATTGCATCGATTCTAAAGAATAAATTATCAATTTAGTGCATTTTGTGATGCTAGACGGCATAAACATTGTACTTTATGAACTTTTTATATATATTTTTATAATTTTTTTTTCATTTTTTATTAGCTACCTAGAAACATCGAAGGCTAATAACTGTCTTTTAAAAGAACTAGATTAAACATTTTGAATACATCGTAACAAATCGTCTGTCTGTCTGTCTGATGTTATTTTCCCAAAGAATTAAATGAATAAAAAACTTTTCACATTTTGACTTCTTTCAAGAAAACCAATGGCCAATTTTGAATAAAAATTGGTAAATAAGCTATAAATTGGGTGAAGGGGAATTTAAATTGTTAAAATGAAGGGACAAGTCCCCTTAAAGGGGAGATAATAAATATATAGACAAAAATAGGGTGGGGTCTAAATTTAAAAATCTTCTTCTCAAGAACCACTGGGCCAATAAGGCTGAAACTTATGTGGAGGCACCCTGGGATAGTGTAGATTCTAAATTGTTCAAATCATGACCCCCGGGGGTTGGGCTAAAAAAATGGGGAATCAAAGTTTTACATAGAAATATATAGGAAAAATCTTTAAAAATATTCTTCTCAAGAACCACTGGGCCAGAAAAGCTGAAACTGATGTGGAAGCACCCTGGGGTAGTGTAGATTCTGAATTCTTCAAATCATGACCCCCGGGGGTAGGGCGGGGCCACAATTGGGAATCAAAGATTTACATAGAAATATATAGGAAAAATTTTTGAAAATCTTCTTCTCAAGAACCACTGGGCCAGAAAAGCTGAAACTCATGTGGAAGCATTGTGGGGTAGTGTAGATTCTAAATTGTTCAAATCATGACCCCCGGGGGTTGGGCGGGGCCACAATGGTGAATCAAAGTTTTACATAGAAATATATAGGAAAAATCTTTGAAAATCTTATTCTCAAGAACCACTGGGCCAATAAGGCTGAAGCTGATGTGGAAGTACCCTGGGGTAGTGTAGATTCTAAATTGTTCAAATCATGACCCCAGGGGGTAGGGTGGGGCCACAATGGGGCATCAATGTTTTACATAGAAATATATAGGAAAAATCTATGAAAATCTTCTTCTCAAGAGCAACTGGGCCAGAAAAGCTGAAACTCAAGTGGAAGTGTGTGGGTACTGTAGATTCTAGTATATTGTTCAAATCATGACCCCCGAGGGTAGGGCGGGGCCACAATGGGGAATAAAAGTTTTACGTAGAAATATATAGGAAAAATCTTTGAAAATCTTCTTTTCAAGAACCACTGGGCCAGAAAAGCTGAAACTCAAACGCATGCAGGCAAGAATTGTTGGGTAGTGTAGATTCTAAATTATTCAAATCATGATCTCCCTTACTTTTGGGTGGGGCCACAATGGGGAATCAAAGTTTTGCATAGAAATATATAGGAAAAATCTTTGAAAATCTTCTTCTCAAGAACCACTGGGCCAGAAAAGCTGAAACTGATGTGGAGGCACCCTGGGGTAGTATAGATTCTAAATTGTTCAAATCATGACCCCCGGCCTGGGGGTAGGGCGGTTCCACAATAGGGCATCAATGTTTTACATAGAAATATATAGGAAAAATCTTTGAAAATCTTCTTCTCAAGAACCACTGGGCCAGAAAAGCTGAAACTCATGCGGAAGCATTGTTGGGTAGTGTAGATTCTAAATTATTCAAATCATGATCCCCGGGGGTTGGGTGGGGCCACAATGGGGAATCAAAGTTTTACATAGAAATATATAGGAAAAATTTTTGAAAATCTTCTTCTCAAGAACCACTGGGCCAGAAAAGCTGAAACTGATGTGGAAGCACCCTGGGGTAGTGTAGATTCTAAATTGTTCAAATCATGACCCCAGGGGGTAGGGCGGGGCCAAAATGGACGACCAAAGTTTTACAAAGAAATATATAGGAAAAATCTTTGAAAATCTTCTTCTCAAGAACCACTGGGCCAGAAAAGCTGAAACTGATGTGGATGCACCCTGGGGTAGTATATTTAATCATGACCCCAGGGGGTAGGGCAGGGCCACAATATGTATTACAAGGGGGAAATCTGGTAAAGAACAATATGACAAAAGATTCTCAGGTGAGCGATGTGGCCCATGGGCCTCTTGTTTCATATACTTTGAAACATCTTTTAGCGTAATAACTGTCTTTGTAAAAGAACTAGATTAAACATTTGGGAATACATTAACAAATCTATGCATGGGATATTTATTTTCCCAAAGAATTAAATGAATAAAAAACGAATTGAAAGGAATGATAAATGCATTAAGAAAATAAATGTCTAATTAATGAATAAAAATTATGAAATAAACTATAAATTTATTTTATTAACTTATTTTCGTATGTGAATAAATCTACAAATCAACTGAATTAAAAATGATTGAATAAATATATAAACAAATAATGAGAATTATCTAAATTTATTCATTTATTTGTTTTTTTTAGCTCACCTGAGCCGAAGGCTCAAGTGAGCTTTTCTGATCAAAAGAACAAAAGTCAGAAAGTACAATATACGGCCTGTGAATTTCTAAAAAAATTAATCATCGTTTTCTTGAAAAATATTTGTGGTTTCCGTATCTACTCGACTTCGTCAATGCAGGGGTGGGTAGTTTTAGCCAAACCGGATGTTGGCTTTTTAATCGTAAGGGCTAAAACCTATAATGGTTTTGACTTTTCCGGAATTTTTCAACGATTTTACAGATTCATTTTAAAATTTCAAGTGGGGCGCATTCCTCTCGGAAAAAAATTCAAGTATAAAATCAATCATTGGTATCTAACGCATATTTTTGAACAAGTTTTTTTCTCCGAGAGGAATGCGCCCCATGTTTAAAATTAATATTTATGAATGTCGTTTGGTCAGCTGGCGCATGCAGAAGCAATTTTACATTATATAATTTCATGTTATCAAAACCTTACATTGCAAGAATTAAGTTTTTCATAAGAAAAATTACTGTAAATTATATAAAGACGACCATAAATCCATTTTAGCATAAATACATTATTTATGCAAGGTAAATAGCGTAGGCTAAACAGATTTTAATACCCCAGTTCTTAGTTTAAATAAAAACATTAAAAAATAGATATGTATTCGCGTTAGTCTATGCTTTTCATATCTGAATGTCTGTTCTGGACCATTGTTGAACAGAAGACCTCCAAAGTAGCCAGGTTATAACCAGAATAGGTCTATTTGTTTTGGTTTTTTGTTTCAACATTTGACAAGTCGTCAATTTTTTTTTGTCGTGACGTCACAATATGCAGAAAATGACGTCAAACTTTTTAGGGAACTTCAATATTTTTCATACTCGTGATGATTGTAGATCAATAACTCTAGATATTAAAAAATGTTTAAAATTTAAATAAATAACATTATTACTATTAAAAGTTAGTACATACGTAGACTTACCTGTATTCAATATATTCTGTGAGACTGAGTGTTACATATAATCATTATCACCCATCGGGTAGATGGCGAGCGATTAACTTGTAAAAGTATACAATAACATAGCTAAATACAGGTCAGATGTATATGTAAACCAGAAGTCTCTGTCGAGACTGAAGCTCTACTGGTTTGTACTTATAACAAAGGAAGAGGAACGTACTTAAGCAGCTGGGAATTTACACTAGCAAAAAAGAGAATAATGATCCTTGAATAAGTCTATTTATGTTCTTAGTGTAGTCTACTTGCATGCCACATTATATTATAATCAGACTAAAACGGAAATTGCTATCTTTATTAACCAAGGTAAAACTTATTTGAAGTAGCCTTTTGAGAGTAACGGAAATTGCTATCTTTATTAACCAAGGTAATACCGGGGTAATGTTCATTGAAGTCAAAAACGGATATAAAGAATTATGTACCTTAGTGTTAAAGTCTAGACCACAGACCAAAACTGTAGGAGGATTAGCATTTTGAAAGAATTTTACAGAAATTTCTATTTTTAGTAACAACGCCAACACCGTTCGTCGAAATCGAAAACCAATGCACAGAATTATGTATCTTAGTGTAGTATACTTGTGTGCCAAGTTATATTGAAATCATACCAAAACTGTAGGAGGAGTAGCATTTTGAAAGACTTTCACAGAAATTTCTATTTTTAGTAACAACGCCAACACCGTTCGTCGAAATCAAAAACCGATAAACAGATTT